CATGGAAACTGACAGACTATTTTTTTATTTTTTTTTTTTTTTTTTTTTTTTTGACATGTCAAGTAGCGAGCATCTTCCGCTCCTTCTCGCCTCAGTAACGAGATAAAAGCCTATTGACTTGCCAGGCAACAGTTAATGCAAATTGCGTTTGCTATCAATGTATTATTTATAAGGAGAGTTGCAGACGTTTCCACAGAACTGAAAGCTATGCTTACAGAAGATTAGGCATGCTATCTTATTCATTTACCAGAGGCTAATTGCTAAACTGTGGAGGAATTAGGATGCGTGAGATTCCCCAAAGGTGTTTCATCTTGTAAACAGGTGGTTGCTATCAGCCAACCGCTTTTAAGTCGGCAACAAACACATTCACAAAGGTGAAACTGATATGGCACTGGTAGGGAATTATCAAATGGTTAACTTTAAGAAAAAAATAAATAAAAACTTTCCCTGTAGGAGAAAACTTTTTCTTTTTACAAACACAACTCTGAAATGTGGAGCTGAAATAAGAAACGCTTAACCTTGAGATAAGAAAGCTCTGTTAGGTGTTGGATGTTCACTGACAGACACATTTGTCGGTACCTCTGGTAAATACGTGCAAAAAGCCTTAAATTAAATTGAATTAAATTTTATTTGCAGTGCTACAACCTCATACAGAAAAATACTGAAAAAAAATCAACCTTTACCTTGAGAGGATTTAGTTAGTCGAGAAAAATGTTGAGAAATAGTTTTGCAGTTGTTGTTAAGTCCAACACACTAAATACACTGACAGGGATCTTTGAGGGTGTGGCATTTTCTCCATGGTTACTTAGATTGACGTCTTCCTGAGCTTACTTATAAAGTATGTGAATGTTAATCTTACCTTGGAATAATTGTTTGCGACAAATCCGCTGACAGTCCTTACGACTGACAGCTGCTATCCACTGCTTATCAAAAGGTTTACAATAAAATCAAAAGTTTGGTCTGCATCCTTTACTGTTTAGCCAGCCGCGCAGCAACCTACCACCATTTCACTGGAGTTCACGTGTCCAAATGTTGTTAAAGAACTCACCCTGGCGGAGTGGGCTGCTCTTTGAAGAGCGTGACGTCACATGTTAGTGGTCAACACCGAGAGATTTCAGAGAAACGGGTTGCCTAAAAGTAACATCATTGTAGCGTCGACCGATGCTCCTGTGGGGTTACGGCACGCCCAAGTTCCCACATATGTTCCTGCCCTTATTCAAGCCCATATAGTGAGGAACAATCTACCAATGGAGACACACCCACCTTGGCTAGAACCAAACCAAACATTAACCAGATAGAGTGAAACTTGACAATGGAGAGGGGGGCTTTAGTCTAATCTGGCGAAGCACTATGGAGATTTACATTTGTGATTGCTGGCATGCAGATAGAGCCCAGTGGTTGTCACGGAGACTTAGAAATCCCCAAAGACCAACTCTTTGCTGTGCTTCTCTAACAGTGAACTTTGTATATCATTTAAACTCCTTTAAATCCTGTTCACCGTGCATGGCGGCAAGGTAAGTATGGGTTTTAAAGCGGCCATGTTTTAAAAGAAATTATTGGGGCTCCCGATAATTGTGCCACCAGGGACTTTCACACATTTTCACAAATGTAAAATTTGTTTGCGTCTGCAATGGCATGCCTCATAGAGGTGCAAAATTTTACTGATATTACCCAGGCTGCTATGATAGATGCTGTACGATTCAAGATTTTTAAAATTTACTCCAAAAAATACAGTGTTTTTACACAAAACCTAAAATAAATTTCATTCTGTGACTCGTTTTGCTGGCTTTTTTTTTTTTTTTTTATCTCTGCGAGATGAAAAAAAATCAACAAAGGCTGGGGTTCTCTGCAGCCCTTTTTTTTTTTTCACCCAACAACACCTTCTGACTACCACCTCTCTCTGTCTCTCTCTAGACGGGAGCTTTAATTTTGTTATTCACAACTCCCAGTCACTTCATGTGGCGTGTGAATAAACACAGGAAAAGCAGCCTTACCTTGTCGTCAATGTCACTTTCGCTGTCACACTGTAACAGAAAACAGACAAACATGGGGAAATGTTAGGAATTATTCATTCGGCTCCCCCACGTAGCATGATCATTGCAGATGTTATTTTTGTGTGCCACCTTTTATTCACTGTCAGCTCTCAGAGCAAACAGCACAGGATGAAGATGGAAAGGAGAGTGTGTTAGTCAAAGAGAGAGGTTTTTTTTTCTCTCTCTCTCTCGAAGTTTCAAAAGGAGCGCACAGACACACAGAAAGCCATTCTGGTGTTTTTGTTACAAATTCAATACTGGAAGTTTGCAAAAGATGTGAAAACGAATACTGCGACACACGGTTCTATTATAAAGAGCCCTGTTCGGTAATTCTGCATTCAGCTGCAGCTTGTCATTTAGCCCTTTTAGTGTGTTTTAAAATTGGACGATAGCATCTCAAGGACACAGATTCTTTGAATTCTCACTGCGCCTATTAAGTGTGGTATTTCAAATCTGCTTTGTGACGAGCCCTCCTTTAATTTGTATGTCAGACTTTTACAAGGGTAAACCAAGTGAATAACAAGAAAGGCTGTTTTCTGATATGTGCGTTGACTAGCGTGGCAGAGGGCCAAATCACTTGCTATTCACTGGAGAAGTGAAGTGGTTTGTCTTCGATGCTGAATTTTTCTTTTTTCTTTTTTTATAAGTCATTTCGCCTCTAAAGCGTGTGACGATTAGGCTCAGAAGTGTAGTGAGGACAAAAGGAAATCTAAGGCCTTGCCGTTGAGAAACAGATAATAGAGGACAATGTTTTTTTATTTCAGGTATGCTCACAGACAGGAATGTCTCTTTTCAGCAAATAAATACGTAAAAATAAAACTTACACAAATCCTGTAAAGTACTCTGAGGAAGTTAAGGTGAAGTTAATGATCATAAAGGTAAAAGTTGAAATCTGAATCCATTTATTCCATTTTTATCAATAGCTGCATTTCTATTACAAATATGCCCAATCATTTTTCTTGTATTTTCTAAGATGTTCCGCTTATTTTGAGAAAAAAAAAACATAATTTCGCCATTGTGGTGTTTCCATTAAAAAGGACATGCAATTAAAATCAAATGTGAATAAGCTTAGAAATCATAGAAGTGATGGATGCAGACATTTAAATGATATATATTCACACATCAGCCACAGCATCAGTGCTCATCATCAACTATCAGAGGAGACATCTGCGTTTTATTGAGGCGTTGGAGCGACAAGCTCGTGGTACTTGGGAGCAGGTACGGCTATGTAGCGTTTTGAGGAACTTATATTTCAAGATTGTACAGAACAGCCAAGGATTCAATGCTTTCGAATGACAAATTACTTCTGATGAAGTGGAGTTACCATTTCGGCTTTTTATCTTGAACTACAGCTAGGTAGCTCGATGCGGGTCAGCCCAGTAAAAACCAACCCCTTGTTCTACGCTTTGCTTCATACAGAGGGTCTGGACTCTCGGCTGTACAGAACGATTACTTCCTGGAGGCGTGGATCATTTTGAAATATAACATTTTACCCAATCGCTAATGTTTGGCCGTGGTGCTATGAAGCTTACCGGAAACAACCATCCTCCACTGCAAAGAGAAAAATGCCAATCCGAATGTCAATCTGTTAATGTCGATTTGGAGGCGTGGCCAACACGGACTGAACAGCTTCGATCACTTCCTCCGCCGCCATTCCCAAAACTACAGGCAGACTACATCTCTAAAACAGAAAATCATCGCCATCGTTCACAACTTCCCCTTCCGTTCGCTATTCGGTGAATTTATTTTTATAATTCCAGTTTGCTCAACTTTACGGCCCATGGAAATGCAGCTACTCGTTTGCAGCTTTCACTAGTGAACCCTTTCCCCCCTGAAACGGTAGGTGGTGAAGCCGTGAAAACGGGACGGGTGGAACCGCGGGACGGGTGGAACCGTGGGACCGTCCCACTGGACCCCACAGCGGGACGTACAAGGGGCAGAGCAATTGAAGCTTAGAGCCACAATAAGCGAGCGGAGTGGTCCCCAGCGCATATCTGCCTTCAATCTGTCAATTAAGGCCCTGCCCCAACATCCTTAAGTGGAGCCTTTTCATTTTGTTTGACTCCCTGTCAGGGCTGGGCACAATGAGGAGGGACCTGGGTCAATGGAGGCACAGCAGCCTTTTGTTGTGAGCGCGGTGGGTCCAAATGTATAATTAAGTAACGAGAGTAATCAGAGCAAGGACTCGGTGACCAGGATCTCTCAGGAGACGATAATGGAAGCATGTATGTGTGGGGAACCGTGCGAGCATGATTCCTCCTACTGTTCTGAGACAGCAGGCGTCCATGCTGCGACAGCTTCAATGGGAAACAAGAACAATGCCACTCAGCCTGGTAGGAGGGTTAATGCTAGGGCTTACATTACTAACTGAAGCATAAACACTCAGAGAAGGTCCAGGTTCTGTTTTCCACACGCAAACAAGTATTATTCTTGCTAATGTGATTTGCTGTTTTTGTTAACATAATGGCACTGCGTCTACAGAAGGAAAGCTATCAGATAAATTATTACTAGTCAGCTACAATCAGGCATTTATATATGCAGTGGCTTGTAAAAGTAGCCACATTTCTTGAGCCTTGTCACTTTTGTGTCATGTTTTGCTATGCCTTTGTTTCCATTTTACAAATACGCACTACTATGTTTAGTTTTCTAGCAGAATACATTCAAGTTTGAGATTCTAAGGTGACAAAATGTGAAAAATTTAAGGGGTGTGAATGCCTACTTTTTTTGTAAAACAAGTTTATGCTGCTGACCTGTTGACATTCTTTTACCTTAAATTTTAATTTATGTTGACACCAGTCTTGATTTGTAGATCTTGCAGGCTTAAGAATGATCTTTATATCTTTAGTTTTGCTTTTTTTTAAATCAGACTTTCTAAAGAAAATGCATCAGTGCAGACCTGTGCCAAACTACATATATGTATTCGGTAGATGTAATAAATATTGCATAATTTTATCAAATCTTATCATTCAATTTAATATTAAGATGACATTGCCCTTGAACACACTTCAGCAGAACTTAAGCAAACTTAAATTTATATTTTCACAGATCAAACTTTTTTTGTTACTTTAGTTTTTAGTGAAAATATCTTAATACAAAACTACTTAGAAGTAACTTTTCAGCCAGATATAAGAGTTTTAGGTCAATAATTCATTAATAGTGATGAAAAAGTTCTAGTTCCGTTGGAAGATTTCTTCACTTATAACAGAAAAAATGTTTTGTTGTGAGAAAATCAGAATATAGTACTTTTTCCATCAATATTAAGATATTATTGACTGAAAACAAGCTCATATATGTTGCAAAATGTTTCTTGTAACTTAGTTTTGTCTTATTATGTGTACTAAGAAATTTGCACTAAAATCTGGACCAGAAATACTTGGTAAGATTTTGTGTTTTTGCCGTGCACAGCAATATTGTTGTTTGTTGGGCTCTGACTTTACTGTATACAGTGACAGATGTGTTGTAAAAAGACGATACCATATAAAAAATGATTTTTTAAAATACTTTTTGCTGTCATTTTCATTGGTACTGAAATAAAGATCAGTTCCCAAGGATGCACACATTTGTAAAATAATGGACAAAAACATTTAGTACTACTTATATTCTCATGTTCTCTTTTCTGAAAATTCAGAAACATTTCTAGTAATTTTGTCTTATGCCATCAGACTGTAATAGAAAAACAGCTTTGTGGTTGCTGTTGTAAGCTAGTTAAGTCCAAATTTAAATCGCCTAATTGTCTCAACGTGCTACAGGATTTTAGATAATAGGCATATTTTTCTATTTTGATCTATAAGTGCAGACCAAAAACAAAGCAAATAATAAAAAAAAGAGAGAGAGAGAATGGATGAAATCTTGTATCCTCAGGAAATCGGTTGTAACGTATTCTTGGCATGCAGCTAAAAGGATGACTTCCATCTCACAGCGGCTGTGGGCTCCACTCTATTACAAAAGGACGAGCATAAACCGTAGGTGATGGAGGTGAACAACTGGCTCTGTCTATTCCCCAGGTGTGTGCTTCTCCTCGTTGCTGCAGCGGTAGCCATGACACTAGAGATGAGGCCTCGTCAGGCTGGAGGAGGCGAGGAGGAAAAATAATATCAAAAGAGCACAGCGTGGTGCTTATCCTTTTACAAGAAGCATGCACTGAGCAGAGCGTTAAGGGGAATACTAGCTCAGACGGGGACGGAGACACAGCAGAACACAGCGGGAGGGGGAGAGGCAGGTGGAACGGGGGGAGCTAAACACTAAGCACAGGCAGGGGGCTAGGGGGGATGCTACAGAGATGAAGGGAAGTGAGGATGGATGTAATGTTCCAGCAATTTTGTCGGTACTGTGTGTGATTGCCCTGTTGGGCTATTTCACTTAGGCAAGTTGAAGGAAGGAATACAATAAAAGCAGAAAATTGTGACCGTAGACGCAAAACGAGACTGTCATTTAACATCCGGGGCGTCTTTAAGTATCATCTCCAGGACAGTAGTTTTAACAAAGGCTTCATGAAAAAAGGCAACTTATGAACTTGAAATGAAAATGCAAAGATGTCCAAGCGGCCGTTGTTTTGTGCTGTTCACCAAACTGCCTGACAGAAACCAAGACGCTTGTGGATTGCATCTTAAAAACATAAAAAAAAAGTCATCACCAGCATCATCTTATTATTATTCTTATCAGAGTATTTCGCAATATTTTGCACACACTGCGATGACAATACATTTGAGATATATTGTGCAGCCTTAGCGCATCTATAAGTAAACTTGCACTGCGGTGCCTTACGATCGCCCTGCGTGGCATTTAGTACGTTATTAGGTTTGAAAGAGTCAGCTTCACTCCTCCAAACTGTTTTGTCATTATGCTCAACCAGCTCTGCCACTGGTTGAGTTTCCATTACAAATGTGCACAAATCTTTCTTTGGTTTTCTACTAATGTCGACAAAACACTATTATGGAATTGCAGCGTTTCCACTGAATGAGAAATGCTATTAAAATCCCACGTGACTAAGC